ACACACACACACACACACACACACACACACACATCAGTATTAAGTAAACCCTCCAGGTAGCTAAATGTCACCACTTGAAAACGGTCATCCTGGTTATGCCCTAGAATCTGGGAGTGAATTGCCAATAAAAAGAGAGGCAAGCACAAGAGAGCCTGGGTTTGGAAAGCTGACTTCACAAAACCTCTTGAGAGTCCGAGGGCGCAGGAAGCAAAATAGAAATTAAACCCTGCTTTCACTGCCTGACCAGAAACCTTAGATATTTGCTCAAATCAATGCAATACACATAAGCACAAGGCGGCCAGCTGGAATGCACCCCTCCGTGAAACGAGTTCTGGGGCCAAGCAATCTGGGTGTGCTTGCCAGATCTGCATCAAAGAAATTGCACAAGATTAAGTTTGGTGGCTGGGTGCAGGTGGGGCAGGGTAAGGGAGAGACAGGCAGCTAAATAGTACACGGCCCTCTGGTCAAGCAGCAACCTGATCCCTCCTCTCTCTCAAGCATAAAATTTTTCTAAGAACATCACAGGTCAGAGGTTGAAGAATTTTCAGCTCCTGTTGGCAGTCTGCAATGAATTACTCCATTTCAACCATATTCTTCCATGCCAAATGCATGTTTCTTAAAGTTCTGTCTCCGATCTGGTTCCACTGGGGAGAAAACTTTAAGTTCTGCATTAACTCTGAGTCCAGTGAGTCTTATATACTCACACCCTCTGTAATGAGAAAACCCCAAAGCACAAGATATAATTTCTATAATCCAGTCAGGCAATAGTTACCCTCTTCCCTTTCACTTATGAACTTCTATTTGAAACCTGCATTTTAATCTGCCTTTACGAATTATCTGTGCTCAAGTTCTCCTAGTATTTGCAGTCCACTTAGGTAGATAGTCACTTTATAAACCCCATGAGGCTGGCGCCTAGAGGAAGAATATAGTCCATTAGCAGGGTCAATACTAAAAAATATAGCCGATGCCAATTCAAGTCTATTAAAAGATAAAGTTTCTGGATTTGAAACCACAGAGAAGATTAACACCATGACCAGTTTTGCTACGCTAAAGAAAATGCTAATATTTTTCTGGGGAACAATACACAGATGAAAAAATATAGTCTTTTTCCAGGTTATGTATATGGTAAAAGATATTCTTATGTGATGATATATAGAGTAAAATAAGGGTTTTTCACTGCAGTGCTGTCTGCTCTTCCCCTAAAGGCCCCGACAGCCTTTACATGTCCTGAGTTTTTCTGTCTTATCCACCAGCAGTGAGCTAGCTGCTCCACCCACATGATAGCCCAAACCAAATGCAAGTCAATGCTGACTCATAGCGACCCCCTGTGCATTTCTGTAACCGTTTACGGGAGTGACAGAAAATCTACCCATAATAAGAAAATGTTCTTGCCTTTTCCAAAGCAATTTAGATTTAATTAGAAATACCATAATGTCATAATTCAGAAAGATGACACACTAAGAGACTGTGTTCTTTGATTTTTCTTTCTAAACATTAGTATATAGATTGTTTTGTTTTTTTCCCTACTCCTGGTGGAGGGAAAGCTGAGGAGTTCCCCTGGTTAGGGTAAGGAGAGGACGGACGAGGCTGGGGTACAACTGCTTTGGCCACTGCCAAACTGGTGCTCAGCGGGCAGCTAAGGCTGCCAAATCTGTGTCACCTTCAGGTTCAAAAATAAAACCTGTCCTCAGTTCCTAACTTACTGCCTTGGGTAAATAACCTGGCTTCCCTGTTTTGAATAAGAGGTTGGGGGACCTGGACAAGACAATTTTATTTTATTTTTTAAACACATATGGTTAGGGAAGTTACCTGTCTACAGAGTATGCATTTCAGCAAACTCAGGAGGTACACCTCACATCTCTGGGCTCTGCTCTAATAAGGCACTACGTGATTTCAATGACTTGAATATTGGTTTTACGGGATGATGAGTACCTTAGAAGTTTTCCAGTGGAACCCTAACAGGGAGTCACAACAACATGTCCCACTTCCATACGTTCCCCATCATTCACTAATGGTGTTGTCTAAGTGACACTATTATAGGACTAGAATAAATATGGCCTAGTTTATGAATTTCTTTAGCTTGGGATACATCCAACACCTGTATCTTTGGTACAAGAGCTGGGCCGGCCCATAGTGAGTCAAATCATAAAGTACAAAGACAAATATTAACAATTACTGACCCACATAAGCACTCTTTCTTGAGCAATTTTCTAAAAGATTTAGTTCATTGCCCTTCAATAAACTATTGTATTATTACTGACTGGTTGTAATAAAAACCCCAAATTAAATTATATTAGAAGTTTCAATAAGATGTTCTTGTCGCTGCTTTCCCCCCTGTGCTGCCCACACAAAGCTTGGCCGGATCCTGGTTGATGGGTGAGTGCTGAGGGCCGCCGCTTTCTCCCCATTCCCCTTTGAGCTGCTGCCAGCCAGGGGGAGCTTACTGCGGGAGGCTTCTGAATGACCCATTTATTGAACAAATCATTTGGAAACTCATAAAACGTTATTTGGAAACCTTTAAAAGGCTATTTCCTTTCCCAGGACCGAGCAGTAAAGTGATACTGACCTGGCCAGCTGTGTCACAAAGCTGAAGCTGCACAGGCCGTCCATCCACAGACACCACAGCTTGGAAACAAGGACAAAATGACCGTCAGAAGGTGGCTTTTTAACCCCTTTCAGAAGAGTAATACAGTTCATTTGTTCTTCCATTTAAGTTCCAAACCCTGCGACCCCTGTCCTGGGCCCCTCCGTGGATTAAAGACTTGCCTAAAACAAAGAAACCCAATCCAAGGCAAACCTTTTTGTATACAAACCCTTCAGGGCGCCACAAGTCACTTCACTGAAACAGACAGGCAGCAAATCACTGCCCTCTTTGATGGCACCACCAGACGGGCCTTTCGTTTCCCTTCTACCCCAAGATGTATTCTCCTGTCACACTTCTTTCAAAGGACCTAAAAACAACACTGAGATTAAGTGGGAACTAGCCTGACCCTTTTAAATCAGTGGAAATTCTCACAGAAATTCTGTTTTCCTTGGGAAGTGTTCCTGTGTTCAAGGTTGATCATAAAATGTTAGCTTGTTTTGAGAACATGTGCAAACACAGCCTGTCCTCGTCCCCATGGTCCTGTTTATGAACCGGGTGACTGCTTATCTTCCCTCCCCATGTCATTTCACAGAGATATTAAAAAAAAATTTTTTTTTTAAGGAAAGAACATCATGGTGCTGGAATTTGATGGCAGGAAGGGGGTGACCCATGGGGTCCTTCATTAGGGAAGCCTTGGAGGTTTCCATTTGAATTAAATAATTGTTTTGTCTCCAGACAACTTGACAACCTTGTTGCTAAAGCTTGTTTATCAACGTCTTTACTAGCCCGTGTGGAGGCTAGGGGATTAGAAAGGAAATTTAGTATCGTTTAGGTGGGAAAACTCACTTGCTTAAACCCATTGCTATCAAATGGATATTGCCTCATTGTAAGCTTGCCGAACAGAGTAGAACTGCCCCTGGAGAATCTGAATCTGGTGGGTTTGAACCTCTCAACTTTGGGTTAGCAACAAGAGCTCTTAATCATTGCACCAGGAGGGCTCCTGGGACTGCTTTATCTAGTCTGCCTTTGAGGTTACGCTTTAGGCAGCTAAGCGCAAGGTCAGCAGTTCAAACCCGCCAGCTGCTCCACAGGAGAAAAATGGCTTCTACTCCCACAAAGAGTTACAATCGTGAAACCACAGGGGCAATTCCGTCCTGTCCTATGGGGTCGCTAAGCGTTGGAATCGACTCATGGCCGTGAGAGAGTTTTTGAGATGGAAGAAACCACGGCTTATCACACAGTAAGAAGACGTCTAAAAAGAGGCCAGTGGAGCAGGTGTTTTGGGGGTTATTTTGGTTTTTAAATAGGGAGCAAGAATGCGTTTAACACTAACTTTTGTGGGTTTTAACTTTTTTCTTAGATTTAAAAAGACCTTAAATATTGCAAAACCAGCCCGTAACTAAAAGGTTCCCTTTAGCTGTGTACCTATCAAACCATGTGACGTTACACCCAATATGGAAGCGCTTGTAGTAGCTTAAGGAGGCATTGAGGAAAATATCTTGTTTGCCTTGGAGTCGATGCTGATTTATGGGGACCCAATAAAGGCAGAGTAGACCTGCTCCCCGGGGGTTCCTCTGCGGTCATCTTTACAGGAACAGATTTCCAGGTTTTCTAGGGGTGAGGTGGCCAGGCCGATTTTTCGGTTAACCACCTGGGGCTTACCCATTGCGCAACCGGGGCTCTTTCCCACTTCTCTAGACTCCAATGACCTCGGAACTGGATCTATTTCCCAGCTAGCGCCTACCATGGTGGCCCGCCAACCCCTTGGGAATCCCTCCAATATCTTAATGCGTTCCTGTAGCCAGGCCCTTCCTCTTACCAAAAACCCACTGTGGGGTGCCCTACAGCCAAGTGCTTGGCAGCCCCAGAGGCACCACCGCTCCCCCTGCCCACCCCCACCCCATCCGCTCCCCGACCCCCTCGGGCAGCCGGCCCCCTCACCGGAGAAGTTGTCGAAGGCGGTGGGGATGTATTCGGTGGGGTAGCCGTTGGTGGTATAGCTCACCACCAGGCTCGTTTTCCCCACGGCGCCGTCTCCGACCAGCACGCACTTGATGCAGCGCCTCTCGGCGCCTCCGGCTCGACAGCGCGTCGCCAGCGCGGCCGTGCGGCCGCTGCGCACCCGGCGCGGGGGCACGGGGGGCACCTCGTAGCCACAGCAGCCCGCCACCGGCTTGCTGATGTACTCGGGGTTCCCTTGCTGCGGCGGCATGGGCTTCCCGATTCGGAACGTGCAGGCGAAAGGGTCCCGGGGGAGCGGTGGCGGCAGTGGGGGGAAAGGAGGAGCTCGGGGTCTCCGAGGGCCCACCGCTCGGTCCCTTCACTGTGGCCGCCACCGCGCGTCCAGGGCACCCTGAGATCCCGCTCGCGTCCACGCCGCGGGGCCCGGGGAGGAAGGGGAGCGGGTCCGGTGTGTCCCCCTTGCTTCTGAGCAGGCGTGCTGGCGGGCGGAGAGCATCCGCCAGGGAGCCGGCAAGGACCGGAGCCACTGTCCTGTTCGCCCGCAGGTGGACGCGCGTGGAGAGCCGGGCTCCCGGCGGCAGGAATCTCGCACGGAGGGTGGGCGGGGGCGCCGCGATCTCCCGGGACGCGGCGAGCTCCGGCGCGGAGACAAAGGCGATCCGGCGGAGGGTCGCCGAGAGCGCGCTGGGGCAGCGGCTCCGTTCGCTGGGCGCAGAGCACGAAGCCGACCCTCCTCTCCCACCCGCTCGGGCGCGACACGGCTCGTGGGTGCGGGTGGGGGGGGCAGAAAGAGGCGGCCCGGTCGGCGCGGCGACCTTCCAGCGCCGAGGCCACAGCGCTCTCTGCCTGCGCGCCGCGCCCCTGCACCTCCCGCGCGGCCTCGCCTGGGGCCAGGCGCTCCCACTCGGTCCCCGAGGTCCGTTCCCGGTGGGCGCGGCCGCCGCACTGGGCAGCTCCCTCCGGGTGCGGAGTCCGAGTCGAGCCGCCGACTCCAATTGGCTGAGCGATTCTCCTCCCCTCGCCCCAGCGTGGGCGGGGACAACGGAGCCAACGCCTTTTTTTTTTTTTTTTCCCTCCCCTCTTCCTCCTCCTCCTTCCCTGCTCCCTGGCCGCTTTTTACTGGGCACGGGGTTCCATCACTTTTCCCAGACCCTCCCCTCCAGGACCGCCTCCGCCCTCCCGCCCCTCACCCTCTGGGCAGTCTCGCTTGCAGGCTGTGGTGAGAAACTTCCAGCATCACTCAGCTCTCCACCCAGGAGGAATGGGGTGTCCAGGGGAATGTCCTCCTTCAGAGGCCTTATTACGCGCTCAACTTCGTCGTCGTCTTCTTTTTTCAAAGTTCAACTATAGACCCACAATGTAAATGTTCTTCTAATAAAAGCAGCAAGATGGCAACTACATTTTTAAAGGTGATTCGCCTTTTTTCTTTGGCATACCATAAACTTTTATTGCTTTTATGGTGCAGTAACTTTCTTTATAGCTTCAATTGGCTTCATTTACTTAAATGCAATTTGAGGACATTAATATTCTCTGGGCGAGAAAGACCCGCCTTTCTACGTCTACTCTAGGAGAGTTACAACCTCAGAAATTCACCAGGGCAGTTCTGAATCCGATCCTGTGTATCTCTGACGCCTTCCTCCCACAAGATAAGCGTGCAATACATTTTTTATGAAACTCACGTCATATAGAATTGATCTGAATTCCTTTGTGTGGAAGGACACAAATCACAAATAATATCACAAATTGCAAATCCATCGCTGTGTGGATTATCTTTCCATTCTTCCTATAAAAAATACCATGCAGTTACAATATTAAAACGGTGAGATTGTGAAACTAAAAGGTATAGAAAAAACATAACATTATGTAGGCGTGTCTTGGGAAATTCCTACCATGCCATCTCCATCTCCGGCATAATTTCTATCATCAAGGCCATATTTTCCAACTACTAATTCTTCCTTTTCATTTCCTACTTTGTCATTCCAATCACCAATAATTACCCGTGTATCTTGATTGCATTTTTGATCAACTTCAGACTGTAGAAGTTGGGAGACTTTTCATCGTTGCCTGTAGTGGTTGGCGGATAAATTTGAATAGTAGCCGTATGAACTGGTCTTCTTTGTAGGCATATGGATATTACCCTATCACCGATAGCACTGGACTTCAGATAGAGCTTGAAATGTTCTCTTTTTAATTTATTTAAATTAATTGTTTATCCAGTGCTTTAAAAGACATTTTATTGTAAATAAGGAGAAAGTTTCTAGAGCAGATCATCAGTTTTACAGACAATGATTCATACACATTTTTTTTTTATCTCAAGTGCATCCCACTTCATCGTTGTGTGTCTTGTCTCCATTCAGTCTTAACCCTTCTGAAATTTGCTGATGGATAAATGCTGCTCCCTTGATCCCAAATTATATTGATTATTCTCAAGTGTGCACACCTCACTAGCACTATTATTGTTCCCTCTGTAACTCTGTCAATTGTTGTGCTGAACATGGAATCACAGGGATGAGCTCAATTCTACACCTAAGTGGTGACCAAGGGACATAATTTCAGGCATTGCACCATCTCTATCAGACCAGCAAGCCTGGTCTTTTTCGTGATTTTGAGTTTTGGCTCACATTTCATCCCACTTGAAGACCTTCCAGTGCATTTAATAATGGTAGCGGGGCACGATCCAGTCCTTCTAGTGTCCCTGTCTTGGTCTTGGTGGTAGCGAGTACTGTTTAAGTGGTCTATTAGTCTATTGGATTAATTGGTTTTATGGGTCTTCAATTCCCATCACTCTTCTTTCCTCCAGACAGGGAGATACCAATAAGTGTACAAGAGGTGGTCCCTTGTGAGTTTAATTGTTTTACTTCCCCATTGAGAATTAGGTGAAGGCTTACAGAGCAAATCTTAGTTTTACAATCAAATTCATACACATTCTGGTTCAACTAATCCATTGCAATGCCTATCCCCAATTCAAGTTCATCACTGTTTCCTGCTTCTAATCCTTCCTCTCTAATTCTTTGAACTTTGTGCTTGGGGAAATGCTGCCCTTTTGATCTTATATGTAGGAGCCCTGGTGACATTATGGTTATGCAGTGAGCTGCTACCTGCAAGGTCAGCTGTTCAAAACCACTAGCTGTTCTGCCAAGAGTGAAAGATGAGACTTTCTAGTCCCATAAAGAATTAGTCTCAGAAACCCATGGGGGCAGTTCTATCCTATCCTATAGGGTCACTCTGAGTTGTAATTGACTTTATGGCAGAGAGGTTTTTGTTTTGTTTCATTTTGTTTTACTTTTCATCTTAAATGGTTAATTTTTCTAATGCAGAGGTCAGTTCAGTTCACAACCGAAGAGTAAGGGCCATAATCTTGGGGATCCTACCAGCCACTATACGGCCAGTAAGCCTGGCTTCTCGCATGATTTTGGCTTCTGTGAACACCTGGTTTGCAGAAGGCTATGGATGACAGTGGAAGTCCAAAATCCACTTGCAAGATTCATATATAGATGAAGCCTCTGGCGAATTCCCTTTGACTATAGTCCAGAGATATGACTAGCCTTGTTACCAAAGAGCATTGCAAAGCTGGTATGGCAGATGCAGTTAGATTAAAATGTCATATCATCATTTGATCTCCCTTTTGACCCATTTTAAAGTTGTTCCAGGTTTGTTTTTTTTAAGTGAAAGGGAAGTACAGGTGGATTAAGCCTCTGGGGAATTCCCTCTGACCATTAGACCAGGGATGTGAATAGCCTTGCTATCATGCAGAGTGTATTGGAAAGCAGATTATTACAGATACTCTTATCATAGAATTTCGCACCTTATCAATTGATATCTATGTTGACCCCTTAATTTAATTTGTTTGCTTTTATTATTTTATGCTCCCTTTTCAATTGAGGTTTTTCTCTGTTTTAGTGTTGTTGTTGCTTTGTATATTTCTGTATATGAAATCCAGCAAAGGTAATTGTTTCTTAGGGGTATGGCAATGAAGGCTGGAAAAATGCGGAGCTAATAACAATGAGTAAAAGAAAGAAGAAAATGCTCTGAAATTGATTGTGGTGATGATTATACAACTCTTCATAATATGATTAAAAATTTTAGTTGTATGGAAAAAAATTAAAACAAATAATTGTTGTATGGAAAAAAGAATGAACGGGCTGAGAGAATTAACTTTAAAAATACAGCCTTTAGTATAGATTACAATTCAATGTAAAGTAAATCAAATTCCTCACAACTAGACCAAGAGGTAGCATCATAAGTGAAGAAAATCAGTTTAGCAAGGCATTCATCTTGCTTGGATCCTTAATCAGTGTTTATGGAAGCAGCAGGTAAGAAATCAAATATATATTGCATTAAGTAAATCTGCTGCACAAGACCTCTTAAAAGTGCTGAAGACAGTGAATGTCACTTTCAGCACTAAGGTATGCCTGATCCAAGCCATTGGTATTTTCAATTGCTTCATAAGCATGTGAAAGTTGAGTAGGGAACAAAGGATACTAAAGAAGAATCAAAGTATTTGAATTGTGGTGTTGATGAAGAATTTTGTGGACAAACAAATCTGTCGTGAATGAAGTACAACCAGAATGCTCCTGAGAATCAAGATGGTGGGACTTGGTCTCACATACTTTGAACATGTATCAGAAGAGACCATTCTCCATTCAGCAAATGGACTGACGCAGTGGGCTCAAACATAACAGACCAAGCAGTGTTTTGTTTCATTATGCATAGATAGAGTCACTGTAGCTGGAAGTGGCTCAACAGCTGAACAACTTGTCCTTGACATGAGTCAAATCAAACCCTCCTACTCAAAGCTACCCTTTAGATTGCAAGGGCTCATAAAGGTTCCCAAGAAGGTAAATCTTTATAGAAGCAGAAAGTCACATCATTCTCCCAAAGAAGAGATGATGGGTTTGAACCCCTAACCTTAACCCGCTGCACCCCCACAATTCCTTTTATCTCTTCTATTGTGCTTATCTATTCAAATAGCCATTGGACTTGTCTCACTGCCACACTTGTTCACAATTTCCTAAAGGACAGGGCCCCTTGCTTCACGAATTCATTAACCCCAGCACAGCACAGCATAGCTCAGCATTAGTACATTTTTTAGGATAGTTTTTTTCCACTAAATACTTTTACCCATTCTACTAGCAAAGGATGACTACTTTCCAAATTTACTAATTATTGTAAATTTACAGGTGTTTAAAAATATTTGTCTAAGATTGCAAATACTATCTGAATATACTTTCTACTATGTATCTCTCACCTTTGCATATTTTGGTATATTCAACAAATACTACTGTGTGCTTCAAGTCCACTCCTCCTCCAGCTACCATTTAGGACAAAGGAGACCTGCCCCCAAAGGGTTGGTAGGCTTTAATGTTTTACAGAAACACGTTGTCACATCTGTCTCCCATTGAGTGGCTGGTAAGTTCACACCTCCAACTATTCACACCCTTTATCAGGGAAGCGCTCAACCATTATGCTATCAGTGTACCTTGTGATAAAGCTTGGGACAGAGAGAAGGGTTTAGATGTGGGAAATGCAAAAGCACACTTGCATTAAAATTGTCCTGCTTTTACATGGATGGGGTAATTGAAAAGAGTATGGCTTGGGTCAGATATACTTAGTCATCAAAAGT